TCCCTTGGTCTCGCCTTTATAATAGAAGATGTAGTCTTCGTATTCTCTTACTTCTTCGCCCAGTCTACGAACTTCGCTAAGGCCTAGTATATCCCAGTTTACTTTTTGTAGTGCTATTTCTAATTCTTTAAGTCTTTCCTCTGTTCAAAGTGTTCTTGTTTATGGTGTTACAAATATAGTCCTGTCAGGTTGTTAGTATTTTACAAATAACCCTGTATAATAATACTTTAGCCCGTCATCATTCATGTAAAATTGTTAGGGACACATGGTTTCCCTAATGATGTTTAAACTGTAGCATTATTAAGCCACATCCACCCACATCACATCAGCCACGTCTTAACATGCAACCGTCAACCATTTAAAAAAAATGTATAAAAATTTTAAAAAAGTACCAAAATCGTTATGGACAAATCATGACAGATTCATACTAATTTGTTACAATTCCTAATTGGTAAAGAGTGAGTAAATTGTCTACACCTGCTATTTAACAAGAAAACAAAATTCTTATTAGTAGTCATTTATTTCTCCAGAATATCAAAAAAATGTACACCTTACGTATAACTTTTAAATTATTTTTTGTTTAGTTTTACTTAATAAATAATAATATAACAAATTATTACTTGTTACATTGTCAGTCTAATGCAAAGTCAAGTTTGTTTTAAAAGCAGTTAATTATACACTCAATGACTATCATTGTGATTACAGTTAATTAAAATTATGTTTATATCATACTTTTTATTAAAAAGGCACATGTATAAGACAAATGTTTATAAAACCAAAAACAAAAAATTTCACATAAAAACAACCTTAAAAAAAGGTCTACTTATTTTGTTATCTTTTTAGATACTTTTGTATCAAATAAAAATTTATTGGAAGAAATTAAGTAACCAGCCTTTTAAGTATAAATGCTATGTAGAAATGTTATTTACTTCTTTAAGACTAATTTACAGTTTTCAGTAACGTTGCAAGACTCAACAAGATTTAATTATAGTACTCGTATGTATGATTAATAGTGCAATTTCTATTGACTCCAAGTGCAACACTAACGCCGCTAAACCATTTTATGCTAGGTGCTATTTAAACATCGTATTTCACAAGATTGTGACATGACTAGAGATGGGTCATGGATAAATATCATTGGGATAAATACTCAGGATAAATATCCATTTTTACTCGATATTTATACAAAAACGTGGATAAATATTTTTAATCGTGGTTTATTATTTATATTTAGTAAAACGAAAGTATATTTTTAAGCTTAATTGTAAACATTGATACATTATATTGCTTGTTATCCTTGTTTTCTATATGCAGTAATAAAAAAAAAACTTTTAAGTACCGTAAATCCCTGTATTTTGCGTGAACCTAATTATTTTTTAAATACGTAGTTTATTTAAAAAAAAGAATTATCTCCACACAATATTAATCAGCTGTCTAACATTTTGTATGGATTTTTTTTTTTCAAGTCACTAAGTTGGTCCACTATTGTACAGTTGTGCAGCTTCGTATATAGAATATAAGAGTTTTTGGTTGTTCAATATTTTATTTGAAAAAACTACAGACGTCATGGGAAATGCTTAAACGATAATTAATTCTAATACAAAGTAAATTCAATTCAAAATAACTTGGCCACTATTTTGCCAAACCCTACATTCGCTACCGAATAATTTACATAGTACGAAAGAGACGGAAAGAGCCGCTAAGGACAATTGTGTTCACACTTTGCATTAAAACATTTTGTGTACCTACACAATTATAAACATTTATTTTTTATATCATGTGTTTTAATTAATAGATTTGGTGTGTGAAATGTGAAGGAGAATCCTTGGGCTATTTCAAGTCCAAACATGATTTTATTTAGTACGCAGTGGACCCCAAAACCATAAAGTTAGGTCGCACTTTATTAAGCAGGATAGGTCAGCTCAATGGTTACAGTTCTATTGATATTTTTCTGTCAATCGAATTTTCTAAACCAGTCAACTTTTATGTTGATAAAAGTTTCGGTTAGGTTAAGTTAGGTTAAAGTATGTTGCATTTAATTTACATTCCTACCATTAGTGAGATGTTATCGACTCAAAACTTAGGTACTAAAACAGTAATGTTACATAAAACAATGGCAAAATGAGAAGTAATCGTACGTAATTATTTAATAAAAAATTAATTCTATTATAAAAACACAAAAAAATAATTATCCATGTTCTAGGATAAATACTCAGTGAAATCGGATATTTATCTATTGACAGATATTTATCGGGAAAAAACACATCTCTAGACGTGACAAGGCAAGTTCACTATAGCAAACATAACATAAGAGTGTTTGTTTGTCGCATTTAAGTTAGATTATAAACACCAGATTCTTCAGAGACCAAATTAATGAGAGAATGTCAAAACAATAGATCACATTTTATTGTGTACTGTATCATATTGTATTTGAAAGAGTAGGGTGGTTTAAAGATCTCGCGAATATCCAGCTTATTATTTGTTGTTGGTGGTGATTATCAATGGTATGTCAGTCTAGACCTTGTTGCATGAGTGTGTGAAGGTCTCTGAAGGCGGCGCCGAGGCGGCCCTGCAGTGTCTGTCGTTTGAGCAGGAACGCACGTACGTCCAGCAATAATCTGTGAATCTGCACGCACTTTGCATATCGCTCCTCACGCGGTATATCCACACCCAATGTATGAACTGGCGCACTCACATTAGCGCGAACTACTGACGAAAAGTTACGCACTATTAACCTTAGCGCGTTGCAGCCACATTGCATATACCTAGGTAATAAGGAAAAATATTGTGTTTTTCTCGATTCAAACTTGATATTAAATATAATCTAGAAAGGTTTACTTACGATTCGTATTTGCTTTGTAATAAATCGTATATTTTAGGCAGCATCAACAGACAAATGTCTAAATTCCAAAGTGATCTGAAATTGTTTTCACACATTATTGGTTTCTTTAGACTAACAATTTCGTATTATTATAATAGTATAATAATGGTAACTTACGGTTTGTGAGCCATCACATTAAGAATATCGAGAATCACAGATGTATCCTCCAAGGCGATAACGGATTCTAGGGCAGTTTTCAAATTTTTGTTCATTCTTACGGAGTGGAATATCTGAAATAAATATTAAAAGATATATTTAGCAGTAACACCAAAGTAGGCTTTGATAAATGCCTAATAAGGTCTAATACAGACAATTTTAACTAAGACTTTGCTATTGTATGTTTATATGCTTGTTCAATGCAATACTATTTTTTCTAAATATAGTAGCAGTAGAGCTCCTTGTGAAAGAGCTCGTCCTGGAAAGTATTGCCATCTTACCTATTTCTGCCTCCAAGCAGTCATGTGAGCATTAGTGCGTTCCGGTTTGGAAGGGTAAGGGTGTCACAGAGTGACGGGCGCTGAGCCAGTGCCCCACAGGTCTTTGCGATTTAAATCTCTGAGTGGCACTGCAACTTTTATGGATAGGCGTGTCGCTTACTACCAAGCGCACGACTTGTTCGTCCCGTTCGTAACTTGTTATTATTAAAAAACAAAACGGGAGGGGCCCTTACTTGCAAAGCGCGTTCTCTGGCAGTGAGAACAGCCATCATAGAGTCGTGTCCACGCATCATAACGCCGAGGACCTCCTGCTCACTGGGCTCAGCACCACCGACACGCGTCCCCCGCCCCGCCATGCCTACTGTTAAGCCACGCTGCAAAACAATACGATGTTCAAATTATGACAATCAAATACTGTATTCTCGATATCCCAGTAAATAGTTACTTTTGGACTCCGAAATCATGGAGCTAACTTTGATCCTTTCGGCGAATAATGACCAGGAGATCAAATGTGTACTTCTGTTTTATTAACAACAACAATATATTACATAAATAATAAGATAATAATAATATTATTATTGTCAACCTTTACTTTCTATGTCACGAATCTCCTAACCTAGTCAAAAGCTATAATATTTGTTATAGAAACCATGTCACATCTACGATGATTGCAACAAAGGAAACCTGGATTGTATTATACTTTTTAAACCTTGTACAGAGACTTTTCATCGATGTCTTATCATGATTTTATTTGTCCTGAACATAGATAAAGTGTTGTGCCTTAAAAAAAATTATGAATTATATGAATAAACTCACAGGCAAAAACTCATCAAGGTCAAGGCCTACAGGTCGGTCTGTAGCGAATGGCACAAACTCCAATTCGCGGTCATTTTCTGCTGTCTCAGCGTGATACATTTGCACGGCTTCTCGGCTTATGCTATCTACCCTACGTCTGAAAGAAGTGAAAATTTTAATAGGTATATTAAATATTCAGGGTTTCCTATTTTGTTTTATTTTTTTTATTTTTTTTTTGGAAAACTTACAGCTAGGTAACAAGAATATAATGGTAAGTATAATATACGCTTGACAGACAAGTGCATGTATGTTGAGGGCTAATTAAAAGTTTCCACAGATAATTATTGAGCGATAGAAACAAGGTATAGTAAGTGGACGACTTAAAAAAACATAATAAATCAAATAACGAAATCAAATACGTGACAGTTATAGCAGCTACATATTTGAAGAGAAAAATATATAATTGAGTAAGCGTTTTGGCTTACTTGTACTGGTGTTGAACAAGTCTACCTCACTATATTTATTAACTAAGGAGTTAAATGAGCGAGACGCTCTATTTAAAGATGTATTTTGCCTATAATTTGTCCTAACCATAGGAACGTAAAGTGTAATAGGATTTCTCAGTGTAACCTTGATTGTACGTAGTATTATTTTAGTTTCCTATGTACTCATATCTGTTTAAGCGCATCGAGTATATAATCAGAAATAGAGACGAAATAAGGGCCCTCCATCCCTGGCAACTCATCACGCAAATGGGTCATATCGCTTTTAAATATCAACTGTCGTTTGCACTGAAATCATAAATTAGAAAACTGAAATAGTACAGCGCCAACAACTTTGACCTGTTTGTACGTCTCCGTATATTCCAAAAATATTGTGTATTTATTGTAATAAAGATAATATCTCTAACTACGGGGGGGCTGTTCCATTCCGTGATGTGGGAAAAACAGCAAAATATCTAATAACAAAATCGGAATCACATTTCATTGGTAATTAAATATGTAATTATTCAATTTTTGTCTATTATAGCAAAGCTCAAGTTAATCCGGTCAATTTAAAATGAAACGACCGACGATACCCGTCAATCCCGTCAATTGTTTCAAATTCGGGCTGGCCAATCGGAGTGCAGTTGTCACCGTAACGATTTGGTAGAATAGTTTTCAAACAAATTAAATAACATTTCGTCTCTATTTCTGGTTATATACTCGATGTTATAGCGCATCAAAGTAACGAAAGTAAATGCAGTAAGCGCGCACGCGAAAAACTGACGTTTTTAAAACTGAATCAATGGAGTACCTTGTTTCACTAGGTGTCTTGCTAAACGATAACGACCTAGGTCCCAGGGATGGTGGGCCCAACGCCATGTCGCTATTGCTCTGACGAAGACCAGAGGCTGCAAGAAGATTACAATCATAATTATGAAACCATCTAAACATACATACTAATACGTAATATTATAAATACGAAAGTAACTCGGTATATAATATTAGGGGTTAAAGTATGAAATTGCCGTTTCGCACTGAAAAATTAAAACAATTTTTTTTAAGATTAAATATATTTGTTTAATCAAAGTTTTTTCCCTTGTTGTCTATACATTTCTGCCATGTAATCGGAAGGTCATTTAAACCTTTGCGATAGAACTCTGGAGACCTGGACTCCACAGCTGTGTGAAGGGATTTTTGTACTGCTTCCTGGGAATTTTATTTCCACACAAAAAAAAATCAAATTGCGGGAAAAAATGGTAGTTGGTCGGGGCGAGGCCCGACGAATATGTAGGATGATGAATAATTTATATCTGCAGGTCTTGTAGTAGTAAAACTGTTTCTCAAGCAGTGTGAGGTGTTGCGTTATCATAGAGCAATAACGGTGAAGCTGTTTTGCTGCGAGTTCCGTCGTCATTATTCAAACGCCATATGTCATATTGTGGGTATGCTAACATTAAACCATGACGTTTCGTGGTAGTTTCATACGGATCGGCTTCCATCATTACCTTCAATTCAACGTTATTTACATTTGTGACTGGTCTTCCTCGTGGTTCTTTCTTCAAGTCGTAATTTGCTGTATTGCCGGCGTTTGCCGTATTTGCGTATGCCGTATCCTCTCCAAATACAGCATTGACAGTTTCTGCTACGTTAACTCCATGTGGAAATTCGTATTCGAAAATTAGGTACTCAGATTTTCGCTGTATCCATCTTCACGTTAAAAGCTGAATGTAAAAACAATTGAAAGTCGAACAATCAAATATCATGTTTTTTAAGTTAAGCATGTTTTACTTTTCGCGTGAAAAACGTTTCACTCTGAAATCGGACACCATACAGGTTTAATTTTAATTTAAAGTGGCCAGTAAAATAAATCGGCAATTTCATATTTAAACCCCTATTATTAATGAATTTTAGTATAGAGATAGTTTAAGAAGGCAGCCTACTTTTTGTCACAAAAATAAATCTTATAGGGGGTGAAATAGGCGTGAAAGTTTGTATAGAGAACCAATAAAACTGAAATTAGTATAGTACAGTAGGCCACTCGAAATACTTCTATAGTGACCGTCAGGATGGCTGGTCGCCTGTGGTATCTGGCACTGAGTGTATATTCAAGAATTGCTACCTATTTGCTCCCTTTTTTAAATAATCGCTACCTTTGATATATTCTGAGAAATTAAAAAAAAAATTGACTAGCCCTTCTGATATCAGGATTTTTCAGATGTATGTATTACCAGTAATTGCTACCTATTTGCTACTTTCACGAATTAAAGGTATACGCTTATTATCTACATTTATTAAAAAAATATTGCGATTGAAAATTGTCTGATTAAATTTAAAAAGCAAAAGTTTTTAGTGCTCTATTGCCATAATATAAAGAGCAGGCGTTGGCACTTTTCACACAAAAATTTTCAATCGTTTAAGCCATCCTGACATCAAAAAGGCTGCTCAATATTTTTTTTTAATTTATCAGAATGTATCAAAGGTAGCAATTATTTAGAAAAGGTGGCAAATAGGTAGGTAATAGGTAGTAATTCTTGAATATACACTCAGTACCAGAAGCCACAGGCGACCAGCCATCCTGACGGTCACTTCTTCTACGCAGACGAAGTCGCGGGCACCAGCTAGTCGAAGATATAATTACAGTGAACCCGTAATTAAAAATGGTGTAAATTTTTTGGATATTACCATTACTATTAGCTTGATATTGTAATTACAAAAGGTCCTTGATTGTACCTTTGTAACTTCGAACTAGGTAGTGGTCTGTTTGTTTTTCGGGGGCCTTGAATATCGTTTGTATTTTTATTGTACAGTCAACAGAACATCAAGCTACACATTGACGTATCTTGTTCCGTTGCACTGGAGGCGATTTTCGACCAAAAATGTGTAGTCTGATGTGCTGCTGTCCGTAATTTATTACTTCTTTTAAAATTAATACCCAAATTTTATATATATTTAAATTACGTTTATCAATTATATTTTGATATTCCTATTTGTATTGTCTCCTTATTTTTATATCAATAGTAAAAATTGTGTAAAACAAAAAATTCAAGTCAAGGTATTAAAAATAGAGTGGTCAGTGTTTATACCTACTCGAAATGAAAGTAAAGTTTATTCTAAAATGACCCCTTAAACATTTCGCATTTATGTCTTTGGCTCAACATAATCAATACTTATGCTTTTTTTTATAAAAATAAATTAAGTGCGCATTTGACCTCCATCTCACCTCAAGGAAAGTGACGGTGAGGTCGAGCATACACATCTAAATAGCCTATTCACTCTCGCTTTGAAAAGGCCCAAGTTAATGCGTTCAGGGAATAAGTCTGCGGGTACGGAATTCCATTCCATAGATTTTAGCCATATAAATGTGGAAGCGTAACGCTTCGTGCCTATCTTTGGAATCCAAAATATAGTGGAGGAACCATAGCCCACGTCTAGTCCCCCGATGATGGGAAGGAGAAGGCGAAGTTAAATCGTGCAATTCTATCGTACACTCTCCGTGATAAATCCTGTAGAATACCGATAAGCAGGCAACTTACGGCGGTGTTCAAGGCTCAGTAGCTTCGCCTCTACTGAATCCGAGTCACCTACAAGCCTCTTAAGTGCTAACTTATTTAACCGCCTCTGTGGCCGAACGGTTACCACGCAGAGGTCCCAGGTTCGCTTCCCAGGCCGGGAGAAATACTTGTATGCCCTACACTTATTTATCTAGTGAGTTTGGGTGTAATTTGTGGTTGTGTATTTGTGTATCCATGGCACCCGCGTACACAACCATGACACAGGGTTTCCCTAGTGCGGGGCTATGTTGATTGTGTGTGTTTCTGTTTGTGTGTGTGTGTCTGTGTGTCCGTGTGTGTGTCTGTGTGTGCGTTAGTGCGCGTGCGCGCGTGTGTGTATTAAGGTAAGCTTTAAATTTATTTTATTTTATTGAAACATAATGTAACCAGAACGTTTGATGTTACTTACTCATTTCACAGTTCCGTTTAGTTTCTTTGTAAGAGTTATGGCGGTTAAGTGAAGCTGAGAGCGGGCTGGCGGCGTAGTCTCGAACGGTTGCGGTAGGTGCAGTGGTGAATGTGCTATTGTCTTTAGTCCCATCTGCCCATAGGTTAGAAAATGCTGTATAAGCTGTTTGATGTCTTGGTTATAGCGGAAGGCTGATATTAGGCTTTTGTAAGTAGCCCTAAAGCAAGATTAGGATTAACTAAAAATGACTTTATTTTTGAACTCTTTGATTTTAGAATTTATCCACTTAAATGATATGTTATATTTAATTTTCATACAGATTTATAAAAAAGCAGGGATAGCCTGGTACTGGTAAACGCTTACTTCCTATATAGGACCTTAAGTAAGATTTGAGCCACATAACTCTTAAGTAGTAAGTCTCTAGTTCGATCAGTACAGCAGACAATGGTCAAATGTTTTCCATCGAGGAGACCCCTGCTCAACAATGGAACTGTGAGCGACGATGGGGTTGGCGGTGATATAGTTACAATCTCTCATTTCGTTAATAATTTCACGATTGCAATTTGATAAAACTAAACGGTTAGTAACGGAGGAAACAAAAAACAACTTACGATGCAATATCTCAGGTTTTTTATCAAAACTACTGTACTCTTTAGTAGAAGTGGGTATACGTGAGGTTTGTATTTCAGTGCGCTGACGCTGCGGCGGCGAGGGCTGCGGCTGAGGGCGGGTGAGTTGTGCGGGAGACGGAGACTGAGGAGGTTCGCCCAGCATTAGATCGCGGAGCGACGTCGCTGCTGTATGCACCAAGTTCGTGGCATCTTGATCTAATATAACAAAACACAGTATTATTTTTATTTAAATGAAAATTAGTAAATAATCTTAATGTGCATGGTTTCGTATTAGTGTATACGTACTATTACAAAAACATTGGACATGGGTCTGACCATTCAGCTGACGGGGTACACCTTTAATGTTATCAAAGTGCAAATAATATTAACCTTCAATGACCTGTGTGTACGTCTCCATATATTCCAAAAATATTATGTATTTATTGTAATAATGATAATATCTCTAACTATGGGGAGCTGTTCCATTCGGTGGTGTGGGCAAAGCAGCAACACATCTAATTACAAAACAAACGGAATCATATTAATCGGTAATTAAATATGTAATTTTTCAATTTTCGTCCATTAAAGCTAAGCTCAAGTTAAACTGGTCAGTCAAATGTATCGAATTCGGGCTGGCCAATCGGAACGCAGTTGTCACCGTTATGATATGGCAGAATAGTTTTCAAACAAATTAAATAACATTTCGTCTTTATTTCTGGTTATATACTCGATGTACCAGCAAAAGCTACTACTAGCTATAACTAAGGTGCATGGAGCTAATACAATAACAATGTTAATGTGATGCGTTTATACCTGGGATGGGGTAATCGTCAGCCGGTGGAGGAGTTCGATTCACTGGAACAAATAAGGAAATATGAAGATTAATTAGTTAAGTAGATTAGTTACATAAGATTATGCCTTAAGGGAAACAGCGTTTTTTATTTTAC